TATAGAAGAGCTGGATATCTGCAAAATTATACACCAATAATAAACTATGAAAAAATATTTAGACGATAAATTTTCTACTATGCTATACACCTCCAGTAGTTGCAATACTAAGGTTGGCGCCCAGCAGACCACAAAAACTAGGACAGCAGCGACCATTAAGCGAGTTGATTTCATTTTAGCCTTGGCAACTGCCTTGTGAATTGTTCCATTTTTGCTTCTGTTCCATAAACTTACGGCGATCTTTCCGTAGGCGAAAAACATGTACAACAGAGGAGCGACAAACGCCACCACAAAGTAGAAGGTTCTTGTAAGCTGATTTTTCCAGTCTGCAGGTAACGTGCAGTAGCTATAATCTCTACAACTTTCAGTGCCATCGTTTTTTTGGAAGCAAATTACTCCAGAGGAACTCTTGATGCTGTACAAAAACGGGAGAGATGTTATGAAGGCGTAACACCAAATCGAGGTAACCAAGAGTAGGAATGTCTTCAGTTTTCTGGGTGATAAGCTTTGAAAAGGCCGTAATACGTTTCTGTGTCGGTCCCACGCAATAGCAGCCAAACTACTGAAACTGGCCGCCGCAGAGGTGTAGCTGACGAGTACCCAAGCTTTGCATGATGTAGATGATAGCAAGAAAAGTGACTGGACTAGCTGTGACATCGGAATGACGAAGTGAAACAGCAGATGGGTGAAGGACAAATGGCAAATCAAAAAGCTTGAAATATTTCGCCGTGCCTTACCACTTCGAAGCATGACATATATAACTACAGAGTTTAAAACTGCACCTGAGGAAAGCAACACGTAACAGATGATGAACGGCCATTGAGTAAAGCTCGCACGATTAAAATGCGTTTGCGAAGATTTAGGTGATAAGGGCTTTGACCAGTTTGCTAACGTTTGATTCATTTCTTCGTAAAAGATCTTTGTCTTTCAACACTGACAGTTTATCACCTTCAAAGTTTTTCGATCCTGATAGTATAGTACAGAGAGGACTGAAAGCTTGCAAGCAAAGAAATTGAAAAAAAAAAAAAAAAACTATAAATTTACATTTTAGATCAAAATTATTATTTACTTTTCATAATGTACCTGCACTTTTTTGCGCATCTAAAACAACAGACCTGACACAAGACAAAAATGCAAGTTGATAAGCTGCTCTTAGTCGGAAAATAGGACCAAAGCGAGGTCAAAGCTTTTCCTTTTATTAAAATGGGTAACTTCCTAAAGAAACTGTGGTGCTGCGTCAGTGGGTGGTAGCACAAGATAATTGGGTTTAACTAATTTCAACTGAGTTCATGATGTAAATTGGACAACGTAAAGAGTTTCTAAAGCTGACGTTAGGAGCGTCAGCCCCTTATCAAAAACCTTCGTTAGCCCTTCGCTCTGACGAAGGGCGAACGCTCATAACATCAACTTGAGAAAGTCTTTTAAACGGTGGCCAATTTACATTAGCAACTCGGTTGATAAAACCAAATTACCGTTTCTGGTAAGCTCGTTATATGCATCCAAGTTTAGCAAGCCATTAAGGCAAATCTCCATTAAGTGTCAAAAGTAATCCAGACTGACGTAAGTTTTGTCTTTCAGAGTTCTGTGATTGGTCTGGAAAACTCGCACCATTCTCTCAACGTAATCAGATGCAAAACAAGAACCAATCGCGACTTGATCACCCGCGTTTTTCCTGCGCTTCTAGATCAACAAACTCATCAGACAATTTTTAGGGAAATAAAAGCAGCTACAAGAGATGATTTCTGATCTCCATATTTGGTGTATTTCAACTGTTTAAAAACCTCCTACTCCCTCCCATAAAAAGAAATATCCATCTTTTCATAAGAATGCATTTGTGACGCAGTCACTGGCCGCGGTTTTTTGCCTATAACAGCATTAAAGTATTAAGTTCGCGTCTTCGCTAGCTGGCTGTTTTTAACTCTGTTCTGATTGGCCGGTTTCGACTCATAATACTGAATCAGAATGCGCCCTGTTTAACGCAATTTGTCTTGATCTCGTGAAAGAGTTCAGTTGAACCATTTAGAGATTTGTTTGTATGTTTTCGCGCATCAATGTCAGTATCTGAGCATCTGCGCACCTACCCTTCCCCTAACCAAACAGAAGTCAACTTATAACGAGCTAAGGTAAATGTTGGCTCAGGGGAAAAGTAGGTGCACAGTTTCTCAGATACTGACATTGATCCATTTTCGTGAAGGGTAATGGGCCGACCTCTAGTCACTAGTCTTTTCCGCCCCCATTTGCTTTCTCGCACAGAGGTTTATTACCTATTACTAAACTTTGCCGATCAAACACCTTGGAAAATTGTTACAATTTACTCCAATACAGGAATCGGAATCGGGGAGGGGGGGGGAGGGGAGTGAAGAGAAGATGCTTCGATATACTAGATTTCTGTTCTAGGAGATAAGTGAATTCATGTTGTGGGAAAAAAAAAAAAGAGAAATCATTAGTTAAGAAATCAATAGTCCCTACTAGAAGGAACTGCGTCTTCTACGTTTAATTTGAACTCAGACAAAAAAGAAGCCAGAGAAATGCTTGAAACGCTTTTATCAAAATTATTACTTCCACTAACCGTTAGTTGAAAAGATTTTTGTTTACCTTTTAGCGCTAAAACGTTCAGATCATTTCTTTTTTCAGCTGTTAGGCAGACTTAAAAAACAAATATTATTAGGTAAAATAACAAATTTCGAAAAGATGAATCTTTGTCTTCGGTGCCACAAATAAATTGGCTCCTCGCATCATAAGATGTTCAATCTACATAGAATTCACTGCTAGCTTCAGGGTAAGAGAAACTCATTTGTCATATAGTTTTACCTGTGCAATTGATGATATTACGAATTTATCGTAAATTGAAATGACGAAGGCTTTTTGTGTGTCTGTTCTTAGCCCCAATTGAAAAAACCCTTTTTTCCCTTACAAGTTTTTCAATATTTACGGATCAGAGATAAATTCTTACTTACGATCAAGCTTACCGGATGAAGTTAGGAGAAGAGCGATAAATACTGTTGGTAGCGCTTTGCGCCATTGTGCGTTATTAATTTGTGCGTAATTAATTTGTGCCTTTTCAAGTTATTTGTTGTCTTAGTTTTGGGCCTGTGTCTTTGGACCGAAACTTTCTGGATCTTTTATTGACCGAGATAAAGTTATTCTTATTCGAAAAAAAAAAAAGCGGAAATTACCTGTCGTTCGATTCCTTCACAAATACATGCGGCGAAACCAGAACAAAATGTGTCTCGAAATTTTGGATCATTTAGGAAACGTAATTAATTGGTCAAAATCAGCATAAAACCTTCACACTAAAATTGAGAAATTTTCAAGCAAGTTTCGAAAGTAATCCGGGAGTGCATCGGTCTTGCTTCACATTGCTCTGTGAAAAAAACGCGTGTGACCAAGTCACAGTTGCTTTTAGCTTTGAATTTGGTTGGTTTTAGCTTGATCGCTCGCGTTTTCCCGCGCTTTAGGTAGTTTCCCTGCTTTTACTTTGAGCTCTGATTGGCTTTGAATTTGGTTGGTTTAGAGGAAGTTGGCACATCTAAGAGTGAAATACTACAATTTTCATTTGAGTGTCTAATCTGCGTCGATTCGGCCTCACCCTGCTCTGTGATTGGTTCAGAAAACCCGCGCTTACTTCCCAACCAATCAGATGCAAAACTAAAACCAATAACGATTTGGTCATCCGTGTTTTCCCGCGCTTTGGGCAGTTTGTTTTCTTTCTACTTTTTGAAGTTTTCTGTAGGAATAGGAAAAATATAAAAGAAAAAGAAAGGAAATTAATTTAGAAAGAAAATTAACTACGAAAACGAAATAAAATTAATTAAGACAAATCTACCTGGGCGGTAGTCGTATTTCTTTGTCACACAGCAAGTTCGGTTTTAATTTCTTACATTTGCGTTTAATGGGCAAATGTTTTTACTTCCTTTGTAGCAGCTAAATACACAACTGTACCAGACTTTTAATTTACCAAAACCAACAACTAAAAGCTAGATGTCTCGTGCATTTAAATGGACCTGACATCTGTCAACAATGGACTTTAATAACTGTCTCGCCGAAGGAACTTGTACGACAGAGAGTTCCTTAGTTTTTTTTTTTAAGGACTAAAAAAAATCCTAAGCTCATCTTACAACGGCTCTTTATGTTATCGAGAAAAGTAATCGTGTTTGATTTTTCTAAGCCACAACAAAAACTTCCTAATGACAAATACGCAACTGATGAAGCCAGTTAATCAATAAAGTTATTAAAAAACGTCCCACCGAGGTTTGCCTTGAAATATTTTTTTAAGCTTTATTAGTGTCTTCGTTTTACATAATCATAGTAGTGTTCGAACAATTATCCTCTCATCATTATAAGCCTAAGACAAGAAAGTTGTGCGCGGGAACATCTTATTGACATTTTATCGACTTAAATAAAGAACTCATGCTATATTATCAAAAGTTCATATTCTGCCAAACTTCAGTGTAAACAGGAAGAAGCTTTTAAACAGAGAAGTTTGGCATTTGGAGAATTTTTCTGGCTTGGAACGTCTCTATCACATCTTCTTTCTCCACTTCCACCAACTAGTAAGCAACATAAGGTTTTAATTTGAAAAATTTTAAGTTGAAATTTAATTACCAATCATTCCGCGCAATAACGCACATATTTTAAATCACGTTGGAAAAAAAATGGCTATCGAAAATAATAGATTTTTAATCATGGAAACGTTATTTCAGTTGTTCTTGTTTTTGTGCAAGTCGGTCCATTGATTACTTGTCTCCCAGTATAAGGCTTTCAAGCGATAATTTGTAAACATTCTCACCTTAAATCCATTTTTGTCCTTTTTACAGGGTGCACTTGTCATTTCCAAGATCATTGGTAAGCATTTTGACTACAGCTTGCGCAAGGATAATTTTCCTCGGCGGTGCAACCGGATTCCTTTTTGTACAAAACACGCGATTCGTGAGTGGCTTTACGGATATTTGGTTCAGTAAACCTTAACAAGGATAACAGATTTAAAACTGCAAGAGACAATGAATGCGACATTTGAAAATTTCACTTCTAATGGCACGGAGCATTCCGGTCCATTGACATATGGTTCTTCAGTTTATACAATTGCGGTGTTTTCTTTGGTTGTCTACGCCATTGTGTTCGGAGTCGGCGGCGTGTTAGACATTTTTGTCATCTTCGTAATGTTACGAAGTGGACAACTACGCAAAAATTTTGCCAGCTTTTTACTTTTTCATCTATCTGTGACTCATCTACTGTTCCATCTTGTAATCGTTATGAATCCTTACAGGGGTTGGCTTGAGAGAGATATTCGGTCTTGTAAAGCGTTTGCCTTTGTAGACCGCGCATGCCCAGCCGCTATTTTTAGCACGTTAGCCGCTATTGCGTGGGATAGACATAAAAACATCATACAGCCTTTTAGGAGTCTGATTTCCAGACCTCCTCGTTCATATTTAATGATGACTGGAGTCATTTGGGCTTATGCTGCGTTATCTTCCATTTCGTTTGTTCACAGTGTGAAGGTACAGACTTTTACCTATTGTCAGACAGAAAACAACAATGATTCATGTAGACAGTATATGCTCTGTGACACATCGCGATCTTCTTGGCAAATTCAGCTTTCCGAGACGATTTACTTTTTTGTGGCGTTTATCATGCCTCTTTCCTATATAGCAGTTGCGTACACAAGAATTGCAGTTCGCTTGTGGAACAGAAGCAAAAATGGAGCTATTCACAGCGCTGTGGCGAAACACAAGTCAAAATCTATTCGCTTGTTGGTTGTAGCCGTGTTTGGCTTCGTTCTTTGCTGGGGACCAAGTATTTTGGGCAGCATGTTGACTAAGTATGAAGTTTTTGACGGAGTGCCTGGAGTGACGAAATATTTTTTAATGGTATGGTTCATGTTTATCGCACCGGCATCAAGCTCTTGTGTTAGTACTGCTGTATACGCTTTTTTTTGCCCTGAATTTAGGAAAAATAGCATCAAATTTGCTTGTTGTTGTTGTTGTTGTTGCTGCTGCTGTAAATCGTCCCGTAATCACCGGATTAGTCCCGATGACGAGATACGTTTACAAACAAGAACGTGGCAAACTTCGATACGAAGACAGCAGGTCGATCAGAAATGAAGAAATATTTGCTTTCTTCAGTGGTTGAGCCCCGAATAATTTGGGATCCATGTCAGTGGTATAAGCGTAAGATAGACACGTCATGTTCGAAAACATGTAAAGCACACACATAAGGCAACCTTCATACTTCAGTTGCATTGTAGAGGAAGATTGTAGGAGTAAATTATGTTTTCCCATATTTAACGTAGCTAGGAATGACGTCAAACAACTGCAAAACACGAAGAGGTATTGACTCTGAGCCCGAGACTGCTGTTGGAAGTTTTGTCTATAACTTATTACAGGACAATAAAATTTAACAAATTGGTGTATAAATTAGTCATAAATACAGAAATAGATATGTATTTAGGTGATCAAACATACATCTCTGTGACAAGAACGTAAATTAGGTTGTTGCAAAAGATTCTTTGTTAGATATTAATGAGGGATATTTGCAAGAATCACTTGAACAAAAGTACATTTTTTTCCGTACCTCAGTTTTAAGACCTTATGTGCACTATTTTTCGTCAGGATTCATAATGGCGCCTGCTACGATTTTATTTCATCTTAGGCTTCTCAGGACCCTTGGATGAATAGTTTTGGGAATTGATAACGATATTCTCGTAACACTCCAATTCAGTCTTAATAATAGCTTATTTCACTTTGTGTTAGAAGAGTAAGTATTTTTAAGCGGGGTGAGGCATCTAAGTAAGGAAGGTCTTCTAATGTCTGTGAGAGTCGTAAGGAAGACCGATCGGGGTTTTTTTTTTCAGTTATCAAAATTACCTTAATTCCCTTGAGTTATACTAAAATACAATGGGATGCACAAGAGGGAATGCAGAATTAATTCTTGCATCTTCCATGTTCCCCCACGTTTCATGCCCGTTAATAGTCACTCCCACACCGCGCCTGTTGTTGCTTCTGGGTCAGCGGAGTGCACCTAAATACAGAGATGCGGTGCGTGCACAAACATGAGGATATCTTCAGTTTATGACAGAGACCAGACATATGCCAAAATATTGACGTGTCTTGCTCCCATTATTCCTTGGGCCTTATACTTGTCACCAGTCACTCAAGTGGTCCACGCACGTTGTCGCTTTGTGGTGTGACTCCAAAAATATGTATGCAGTATGAACATAAGCGGAAAAGTTGCTGTTCCGTTTATTTGCTACTCTGATTCGTCCATATTAGATGACAGGCTCCACGCGACCCAAAGGACAATTGCTTGAACAACAGAAGCAACAATGTCTGAGAACTCCTCTCCTGAATTCAGGGCACAGGAATGCGTAGATGACAGGGTTTATAGAAGAGCTGGATATCTGCAAAATTATACACCAAAAATAAACTATGAAAAAATATTTAGACGATAAATTTTCTACTATGCAATACACCTCCAGTAGTTGCAATTCTAAGGTTGGCGCCCAGCAGACCACAAAAACTAGGACAGCAGCGACCATTAAGCGAGTTGATTTCATTTTAGCCTTGGCAACTGCCTTGTGAATTGTTCCATGTTTGCTTCTGTTCCATAAACTTACGGCGATCTTTCCGTATGCGAAAAACATGTACAACAGAGGAGCGACAAACACCACCACTAGGGAAAGAGTAGGTGCACAGTTTCTCAGATACTGACATTGATCCATTTTCGCAAAGGGTAATGGGCCGGCCTCTAGTCACTAGTCTTTTTCGCCCCCATTTGCTTTCTCGCACAGGGGTTTATTATCTATTGCTACACTTTGCCGATCAACTGAACACTTTGGAAAATTGCCAAAGTTACTCCAATACAGGATACCTTGCGAATTTGTTAAATGGCAAGGCCCGGAATCCGGGGGAGGGGGGGAGGGGAGTGAAGAGAAGACGCTTCGATATACTAGATTTCTTTTCTAGGAAATAAGTGAATTCATGTTGTGGAAAAAAAAGAGAAATAATTAGTTAAGAAATCTAACTATTTCTGGTAGTCCCCTTCCAGAACTGCACGTCCCACACTGGGTAGTTATGTCCCTTGAACGAGACTAAGGAACTGAAAGTGTAGAGACTCCAAAGGCGAATTTGTTGGAAACAGGAAGCACAATAAGTATAAGTTACTTCATAAACCAAGTAATTGCTTAATGAGAACGTTAATACTTAGGATTAGATTATTCTCACTAAAAGATGAACGGTCACCATACAGATAGTAACGTCAATTAAAAAAAAAATTGAACGACAGTGCTCAAACTTGAAGCCTCGTAGCGATTTAAAGTGGTACCAAAGAATTATTTTCATCTAAGTGCTTCAGAGTATAATACCTCAATACTTCTTAAAAGCTCTCTAAGGCTGGTCATTCGAAAAGGAGTTAACCCTTTAACTCCCAAGATCTCATTAGTAATTCTCCTTACTGTCTGCCGTACAATTCTTATGATGTCAATCTGGAGAATTTGGTATTGGATCAACTAATAATCCCCTAATTTATATTTTACTTTATTCTCATCACTTCTATCCTTGATATTGTATTGATATTGTAAGGAGAAATTCTGTCTTGGTCACTCATGGGAGGTAAAGGGTTAACACTAATCCTGGATTATTATGTCAATATAATTTGTTCTGTAAAGACATTTTCTGGGACTCGAAGCTATCTAATCGCTTTTTCAGCTTAACAATTGCGTCAAATTGGCGATATTACAAGTTAATATTTCTAATATCAGTAGGTCACTGCTATAAGAAACATTTCCAAAGAAGAACTGGAAATAATGTGCAGTGATCATTTGACACAACACTGTCAAGTTGTACAGTATGTTGTCTGTTTAGTTGTTTGTCTTTTTTTAATACCTGAACATTTATTGAGTGGAACTACTTTCTGTTGATGTAGGCCTCTGGTTCGTGTTCAGGGGGCCGACATCAGTGCCATCGACTACCCCAATAACGCCAGGGAATCCCCTTGAAGATGACTTTATATCTTGCATCTGATTTCCTGTAAATTTTTGCATTTAAAATGATACATCAGTCATGCTATTTTGACCCTGATTCTAAATAAAATAATGAAACAGGTTCTCTTATTTGCTTGCCATGACTCAACAGTTGGCCATTTGATGTATTGCCCACAAAGGGAAACAGTTGCCTGCACGACTCTGCGGAAAACCCTGTCGACATTACTGGATGTGAGGTCGAAACGATCTGCCACAGCCCGAGCCGGTTCTTGATAAGCTATCCTCCACAGAAACGCTAGGATTTGCTTTTCTGGAGCAATGACTGGTTGCCAGACGAATTTGTCGTTGGTATTTGTCCGGTTTGCATTATTTATCGCGAGAGAAGTTCGCAAGTTTCTCTCGTCATGCGGAAATGATGCTTGAATTCGTCGGGTAAATATCTTGGCAGAGTTTGCTCAAAATAATCTTGAATGCGAGTTAAATTTCTGCACATGAAGCAGCATGCGGCACTTAAAACAATCTCTTTATCACTTTCCTCCAACATATCACCGAGTAAATGGATATCATCTTGTAACTCAAAAGTCAAGAATAGTGAGTAAGTCCGCCATTTTAAATCTTGGCGGGAAATGTGCCCGAGTGGGAATGAAAGTTCTTACTGTTTCCAGTGTTGCATGTTTTGGTGTGAAGAGTGCCTCATTGTACATAACATCATTCAAAGGATTACGAGGACGTGTTGAAACGACCCTTGTTCTGCTCTAAACAGCGGCATGAGAAAGAAGAACTTAAATACTTCTGCAAGAACTGCGAAACGGCAGCTTGTCAAAGCTGTGTTTGATACATCTTGCGGGTCACGCCATATTGCACCTAGAGGAAGAAGCGGAAAGACAAAAGATGGAACTAAAATCACTGATTGAAATACAGAAGCACGATTTACAAGCAAAGATTGTAAGATTCAAACGTGCGTGACCTCTCACGTACGTGCGTTACCCTTGATTTAAATTTTAACCCTTGATCTCCACGTGACTTGTTTGATTACACTTTTTAAGTTCTCGTTTTTCATTGTAATATATATTCAGTGTTGGCCCTTTGTTACGGCAAGTTCTTGTTTTTCAATCAACGGCCATTTCACTCGGCCCGTTCAAGTCAGTAGGAGGAAATATCTGTAAGTCGTTAGTCCTTTTTTCGTTTTCATTTTGTTCGTCAATTTTCTTGGATCTATTGTAATTTATAATGTAATTTTTCCTTTCAGTCGAACCATCATTTGTATCATTTACATCATTTACATCATCACCTTCTACTTGATCAGATGCGTTTAATTTACTCTATGACTGTGAACGAGGAATAAATTTTCTCTTTTAAATCAACTCTTGGCTGGAGTCTACAAAGATTAACACTTTTGGTCGACTGAATGAAGACTGCACCAAATTGATACAACGAAGCGAAGACATCAAGAGATAAGTGCAGAAGTTTGTGGACAACTTAATTGCAACTATTGAAGCGAAAAAACAAATTATTACCGCAGCGGCGGACGATGAAACGAAGAGATTCCTCGAAACTATAACAACGTAAAAGACGAATATCGAGAGTGAAATAAAGATCATCGAATCATCGCTGGAAAAAGCTGATACAATTCTAAAACGAAGCACACACGCCGAAGTCGTTCAACTGAAGAAATCAATCAAGGAAATCTTTCAGGGAACTAATCAGAGCCAGCCAAAAGACCGTTACCCGGAAAAGCTTCCTGTCCTAGCTTTCTTGGACAACCTAAAGATGCGAAGCACCATGAACGCCGAAGAAATCGCAATGTTGCCAATATCACACCAAACAAAATCAAGTCAGTCAGTTGCTGAAGGAAAAGGACTTGAAGAAGCAATTGCTAACCATCAAGCACAGTTTTCTCTGACCACAAGGGAGATCATTGACGAACAAGGGCACGACTGCGCCACAGAATTGCAAATAATTGACAATAAGAACGGACTCCATAAAATCAGTTATTCCCCCAAAAATGAAGGAAGATGTAAAGCGACGATAAAGGTAAACGGGGAACATGTGCACAGCGTTAAACCGTTTCAGCTTAGACCTGTTTTATCTTTTGGTGAAGAGGGTTCGTCGGTTGGAAAGTTTTCTTGTCCCTGGGGGGTTGCAGTGAACGCTAACGACGAGATCGCTGTAACTGATCAATTCAACAACAGGGTTCAAATTTTCAGTAGTGAAGGAAAGTTTTTAAGATCATTTGGTAAGAAGGGTAACATGGTGGGAGAATTCAACAATCCTCGGGGAATAACATTTCATAATAATGGCAATATTTTTGTTACAGACTGTTACAATCATAGAATTCAGATTTTTAGCGGTGAGGGTGAGTTCGTGGGAAGTTTTGGTGGGAAAGGAGACCTTGATAGTCAACTTGATTATCCCTCGGGTCTGTCTGTAGACAGTGATGGGAATATCGTTGTTGCAGACGTAGGTAACAAACTGATTAAGATCTTTTCTCCTGAAGGCAAGTTTCTAAGAAAGATAGGTGGGCAGGGGTCTTTTACCTATCCTATGCACTGTATTCAATATCATAGATATCTCATTGTGTCAGACAATAGTGATCATTGTATCAAAGTTTTTGACAGGAATGGAAAGTTTCAGTACAAGTTTGGAAAGCAGGGAGGAAGGGATGGGGAGTTTAATTATCCAAGATGTTTGTCATTGAACAATTCAGGACAACTTATGGTCTGTGACTCAGGCAATCGTAGAATACAAGTCTTTGAACTGAATGGAAAGTTTGTTGGTAAGTTTGGAACTCAAAATAAAAATTTAGGAGAATTCAGATATCCAAGAGCAGTAGCTGTTCTCAGTACAGGGAGATTTGTTGTTGCTCATCGTGAACGTTACCATCGTATTCAGATAATTGAGTAGTGCTCGTTCGCTCTGGTGAACTGTTTGGCTTATTTTGAGCAGAGTGAGATTGACAACCGCTTTCTACATAAATCAATTGAGTTTTATATAAAATTAACAAATGAATAGAAGTAAAGTGAAAGGGAAGAAATGAAAAGAAACTCTTTAGAGCACATATTCGTTAGCTTTTGGCAGAGTGGTAGGACTGGAAAAAAGTTAATCCAATCCAATATGTACACCTGTGAAGCATTCTGATGGAAGCATATTGCTACTGAGAATGTTATGTTTACAGAACTTTTAATATACATTTGGTATTCATTATTTTAACAAACAAAAGGTTGTGGTTATTCCTTATGATTTGGTTCATGTACAATTATAACAAAAAAAAAATTACAGTCACTTTTGATCAAAACCTTTTTCAGTTTTTTAGGTGGAATAAAAAAAAAGCTGTAGGAAAGTTGTTAGTGAATGTTTTTAGATAAAATTTAAAAAATCATTCAAGTTGTAGAAACTTAAGGTTCTTTCAAAGAACTCTAAACACTTTTAAATGGTGTTTTTTGTAAGTGCCTTGAGATCTTAGAAATAGCAAGGGGACTAAGATTTCTGTATATAGTAAGTATTTTAGGTGAAGAGAATTCTTGAATAAGAGATTCAGGTGTTGACTGAATCAAACTGATATGTTTCAGTCAAACACAGAAAAAATATTGAACTTTACAAACCAACGGCTGTATCAGCATTTGAAGAGCGGCCAAGTCATTGTGGTTAATTTTGTATATGAATAGTTCAGAGAACATGGGGATGGCTTTCAATTTTTCAGCCAAAAACAGAACCTTGTCTGCAAACATTATTGGTAACTATCAGCTGAAAAATAGATTTTAAAAAATAACTTAAGAAAGGATTAACCTGCCATTTCAAAATGGAAGTCATTATCATTATTTTGTACTTTGAAAAGCAGAATTCTTAGGATTGAAAATATTTGTAGGAGTTTATTTGTTAATGATCTCAGAACCCACATAATGCTTACCTTCATATATAAAATTGAAATGAGGGGCTTGGCAATTGGAGGTCTGGGCATAAGACTGTTTCAAATACAGTGGATTAATTTGAATTTATCTAGTTTTATAATAAATAAGAAGCTCTGCACACCTAAATAAGTTACATTGATTAACAAATTGAACTGACTCTGTATATTGAATATCATATCATCCAAAGAAATAAAGTGTCACTGAACTGTTTGACCTTTTGTATTTAATGAAGTTTTCATCATCATTATCATTGCTGGTATTACTTTATTATTATTATCTATTTAAATTTCATGAGTGACCAAGACAGATTTTCCCCTTACAAGACCAATACAATATCAAGCAAACAAGTGATAAGAAAAAAGAAAAACATAAATTTGGGGATTATTAACTGATCCAAAACCAAATTCTCCAAACTAACACCATAAGAATTGTACTGCGAACAGTAAGGAGAATGAGTAATGAGATCTTGGGAGTGAAAGGGTTTAAGAGGCATAAAATGGGCAACTTTCACTCCCAGTTAAGATAATTTATTTGAAAAACATAGTATAACAAGACTAAAACGATATTGCAATACTTCCCTCACTAAATTAAATACCACTCTATATTTTCAAAATGTACTTACTTTTGGCTTTTCCTTATCTTCCTCCTCCTCATTTTCCTCTTCAATAACAACTCCAAGATCAAGTTCTGGTGGAATTCCATAATACAACTTGCTTTTGTTGGCTACAGTGAGAAAACAAGCATTTTCAAAGTTTTATGAAGGAATATTTTCCACTTCCAAGCATAACTGGCTCTTCTGCATTGTTACCTGGGCTTGAAAACTACATTGTACCCTTCCACTTGTCTCTAGTGTAGTCCCTAAGCTCACCATTACACACCCTGCATAGGATTCCTATGTCCAAGCTCAGTGTGAAGTGGGGACAGGAAAGTTCAGGGGGTTGAAAAGTTAATCCATTAAAAAAAAGGCTTGGAGATAAGGAAGGGAAAAGGGTTTATACATGTATGTACACTATTTTGTGCTGAAGAACAGCAATAATTTAATGTACAGTAAAAACCAGCCAGACACAAGAGCTGGACTCCCTTCATGGAAGTTCAACCACAGCCCCTAAATTTTTTGTCCTCCTTCCCACCAGAAAATCCCCCACACAAACCACATTTCATAGCACCAACAACCATTGCAGACCCTGCTGCAGTTAGACAGGACAAATGGGAAAATATCTGAACAACAAAAGGTTCCAATTAAGTCTACACATCCTTTTAGATTGTGGAGCAACTTTCTTAACACAGAAAAAAAAACTTCTCAGTCCCTGGTTATCCAAAGAAAATCAATCCTTAACCCTTAAACTCCAGAAGTGATTCACATGTAACTTCTCCCTATAATATCTTCACATCATCCGTGAAGCAGGTAATGAGGATACTCAAGCTTATTGGGTAGAAGTTGTTCTCACAATCAAGAATCCAAATTCTCCTGATCAATTACAAAGAATTGTGCAGAAGCAAGAGGGGAGAATTAACAGTCAGATCTTGGGAGTTAAAGGGCTAACTCTAAAAAAGAATCCTGTTTTTTTTCTAAGGGCAGGGGGTGACTTCACACAGGCTACATATTAAGTGACTTTTCTTTACAGTTTACTATTTTGTATAAATGTGCAAGCTACAAAGTTTTTAATACTGTCTTCATAGAGCATAATTTCTATCAGTTTACCAGTGTAACCAACACCAAATGTTGGATAATACATGAGAGGTTTTCAAATAACAAGCTGATAACAGCACAGGATATTATAACTGTTAAAAAAAAGTAGTGGTAACAACTATTTATGAAAAAGAATGGTTGGTCAACCACTAGAAAAGTACATGTACATTTAAAAAAGTATTTCATTTGACACTGTCTCAACTTGAAGCTCCATTCTCAAACCTCAAAGCCATTTGGGATAATAGACGACAGAGAACCAAGGCTCCAGAAACTAGGATTGAGACACGTAACTGAAGAATTTCTTGAGGATCTCAATCCCCCATTTGGAGGAAACAATTTTATTATCACATCAAACTCTACTCAGATGTCTATAAACTTTCCTGTGCACTAGGCCCAGTCTGCGCCGAGGTGTTGTCATTCGACACTAGGTCAAACCTCGGCATATATGTGCTTTTATCGCTTGTTATTTTCGCCTTTATTTCTCGTATAAGGATCGTTTAACTAGTCTCACATCGAAGGAATAGAACATTACGGAAGCATTACGGATATTTCAGCAGTTTTCTCAAGAACAATTGCTTGTTTGTAAGAATCCAGAGTCAGAGATTGAGAATTGAGGATCGGAGATCAAGTTTTGAGGGACTGGCAACTTTGGACACAGTCTGTTTCAATACCTTAAGGTTCCTATGAGCTCATTGCTTTTCCTGCGTTTACGCCGTAATATGGTTACCAACTAATGCTTAAGTCTTCTTCATGATAATCTTCCTGACTTCCTCAAAAACAGGTAATAAAAGATTGTACTGCAAAACAATATCAAGTAACATAAAGTTGAATGGCAGCTATTTTCAGGAAAGGAGTTCAGAGAAAAGACCTCTCTCAATATGGTCCTAGAAATAAACCAGGAAAACTGGATCAGTAACACAAAGTCAAGTCTTGCCTGACTGGTAACCCTTTAACCTCCAAGATCTGATTGTTAATTCTCCCCTCTAACTGCTACATATTTCCTTGTAAATCCTAGATGTTCCTATTACCATTATTAATTTACAAGAGAACATTTCCCTCTTACATCAGTATTAAGTCTTCATGTGCACCAGTTTCGTCAAGATTCATAGTAGCCTACTAGGATTTTGTTTCGTGTCGTCCCTCTCCTGCTTATCATTAGGTTTCTTTAGATCCATTGAAAAACAGTTTTTGGAAGTTGAGGCGATATTCACTTAAAACTCCAATTTAGTTTTTGAGAATAGCTGACTTTAGTCTGTCTAAGAGGAGTAAATATTTTTCAACCGGGTATGGCTTCAAAGCAAGGAAGGCCATCTTAACCAATTCATACATATGAGGAACGCAAACAAGAGTAATCAGGGCCTTTTTGCCAAAATGGAAGAAGGTGCGAAGGAGGAAGGGACTTACAGAACTAGTTCTTTCCTGTACCATGGTCCCTTACACAGTCGCTACCGGTCACTCCAACTCCATTGTTCCTGCAATGGGGGCTTTTTCCTCCATCCACAAAATTAACATGCTAAATTCCACTCGGGCTTTTACCCAAACTCAGATTCTTTTAACAAAATTACATATTGACTGGTTTTATATTATTACGTTTCATTTCTTGCATCTTGACTCACACTTACGTATAAGTCGGCGCAGAATGATCTAACAGGCGCAACAGCTCGAGCTTACAATAATCAAGCCACGAAATGTAATCATACACTGAGGGATAGAGCTGTAACACTTACTTCGGGTCTGTTCCTTCATCGTCGTCATCATCAGGATTACAAATGGAACGGGTGTTCCATAGCGTTACACAGTTATCTACTCCACCTGGAAGAAAAAATAAATATGTCCAACTGCTTTCCTGTTGAGAAGCAAAGATGAAAACAGCGACGTGCTTTTAACTAATAACTAAAAATTCAGGTATGTATTGCGGACCTACACTCTTACACTCCCTCATGCACTCATAGCCTACAGCAATGAGGGTAATATACTTACAACGCACTACCCATAAGAAACATAAAAACTGCGAATTGGATAATCCAAAGAAGTCATTACTTAACTTGCAAAGATGAAGGGAGGCTTTACTAGTTTTATTCTTTTTTCCTTTGACTTCATTCGAAGCACAAACAAAACAAACCTAAGGCCAGCAAATTCTCACCTCTATTAAACATCTAAGAGTACACTGTGTCCGATTGTCCTTTTAGCTCCGTCAATGATGTCCCCTCTGCGAGATCCCAAACTAGAATACGCTTATCAACGCCTAACCGATAAATGGAACGAAGAGCGGAAAGTTAGGCAATTTGTTATTCACTTCTGCATGGCGCAAACTCCCTTGTATACGTCAGAAGGGATCCCTAGTGGAAAGTGCAAAGATCTTTGTCGGTGAACAAATCAGGACAAATTATGGTTTGTAACTCAGGAAGTTGTAGAATGCTATTCTGACAAGTCTTTTAGCTGAATGGAAAGTTTGTTGGTAAGTTTGGAACACATAAATAAACAAACATTTAGGAGGATTCACAATTCCACATGTACTAGCAGTTCTCTGAACAGGGAGATATGTTGATGCTGACAGTGGGCTTATTTTGAGCAGAGTGAAATTCAACCGCTTTCTACATAAATCAACGAGTTTCAAATGAAATTAAGAAATGAAGAGAAATAAAATAATGGGGAAGAAATGAAAAGAAATTCTTTAGTTCACGTATCTGTTAATTTTTGGCGGGATAGGACTGAAAAAGGATTGTCATGTCCAATATGTACACCTGAAGCGTTTCGATGTAAGCGTATTCCT